CCTAATAACTTGATATCATAATAGAACAACAGTGTATATTACTCATCTAGTTATACATTATGAAAGCATGCTTAGTATAGCATAAATGATGAAGAAAAATTAATTTTTGTAACTGCAATATTGCAATCACAAAAGCAAACATTTAAATAATATAAATGCAATTATGACAGATGGTGTTACTTAGAGCTGGGTCAGCTCCAAATCAGAAATTGTAAATTACTCCTCCGCCATTAGTCTGAGTGTGAGCCCAAAACGTAACCACAAGTCATAAAATGTATCAACTTCAAGTCTGAACCCGCTTGCTGCTACGAAAATTTCGAATTTATACACAATTTCCAATGGGACACAGGAAAAGTCTGTTTTATTCATGTAACTTGTTCAAGGAGGTATTTAAATCATTAAATGGGTACACCAATTTTTGTGGGAAAACTTTTTATTCGACAAATAAGAATGAGAAAACGTGTTTTTTGAGATTCAATCCAAAGTTTTGGCAGAAACCAGGAAATTCTTCAAATAAGATTTTTAGGTAGTTATGAGATCTACAGATTGCGACTATACATAAAAATATCCAACTAATAGTAAAAAATGTTTAGCCGAAAACCCAAGCAAAGTGCAGATTTTGGCACTTGCTGCTAATGCGATGATAATTTTACGCAGCTACTTGAAATTCTTTAAAACCATAGGCTTCATACTTCTAAGTAACCATAGCAAAATTGGAGTCGATTGGTCAAGTAATCTTAGAGAATTCCTAATTGTTTATCCCAAAGTACCTGTCTTCCGGCCATCACTACTAGTTTATTGAGCAATATACAGGGTTCGTTCAAATATAGCAAAATACACGAGTTTACCTTGCCGACATAAATCACAAACCATTCCGAAAGATAATTGTTGTTTTTATGCGAAAAAGAAGGGTTACGCGTTTTCTCATTCTTTGTTGTCGAATAAAAAGTTGTCCCACAAAAAATGGTGTACCCATTTTATGCGTCCATGTTTTAAATATTACCTTGAACAACTTGCATCAATAAAGTCAGACTTTACAATTATTTCGCAAACCGGGGGTATTTTCGTCTAATATGATTAGACTACTTTGTGGCATTCACTATCACCGATGGTAAGTTTTGGAACTGCAGAATTTGGAATCAAAAACAATCGGAATCGAATCAAAACCAACGAGTTGAATCACTAGAAGGAAGGATTAAGACCAGCTCTTGAACACAGTACTTTAGGCTCCACCTACTGGTATGATGTTACGTTAAATAATATCTGAAGAAAAAAATATAGACCAAGAAGAGAATTTGTAAACACTCTGTATGAACACTTGAGGGAGATACACACAAAAACAATTGACGACTTTCACATCCAACCAAAAACCTCCGAAAACTTACTATACCAGGAGCTATTATAACCGTTTCTTTTTCAAATACAATTACTTTTAAAAGTAGGTCAACAAAAACATTTATTTGACGCATAGCATAAAGCTACTGAACATATAATTAAATAAAATATTGCAGCTTCCTTTTCACCGAATGTTTTGAGATGAAACAATTGGTAACCCAGTTGACTTAGAAACTTCCTACCTAGTAAAATACAGATGAGTCAAATTATGATCGAACTTTTCCGTAACTAAAAGCTTCGATCATCAAAAATATTTTATTATGTGAACGTATAGTTTCATTTTTCAATATAGTATTTTCAGAAATATCTGCAAAGTATTCAATTTTCAAATACATATACATGTCAATAGACTAATGGATCATAAATACAGATCATTATCATCAAGTGGTTAGACTTACTGCGTACCTACTATGCTATTGTGTGTCTATTAGAAAACGATTTATCTCATAAACCAAAACACTAGTATTGGTACCCCACAAAAATGATCTGATTTGAGATACAAAGTTACTTTTTTTTTGAAAATTTTGCGATACCTCTAAAAAGCCATTTCATTCATTTCCGTCGGTATGTCTGTCGAACTGTCCATCTGCCCGTCGGCTCGGCTTTCCTACTGGCGCAAGGTTTATGGTAGATGCCATTGTATCTTTGTAGTAAAAAAATGCTCAAAAAATCAAAAGTTAGCTCAATATGTTTGTTAGCACGGATTAACGTATTCATATAGAATATGTCAAAATGCAGTACTCATTTCTGTCGGACCAGCGAATGAGCATTTCCACACCATACACCCATACATCTCATGTCAAATTTCATTAAGTCAATTGGGCTGTAGCCCGCGAAATAGATATTTCAGCGTTGTTTCCCTGGATGAAAAGTAGCTAATCTCTCTCTGTACCAAATTTTATCCAGATGCGTTCAGCCATTTTAGCGTTATTGAGTAACAGACATCCACGCTTTCTCATTTGTATCATTAGCAGGGATTCATAAATCTTGGTCGGAAATGTTGCAAAACGTGAACAGCTTCGCAAGAAACTATAACAAGATTAAATTGCAGAAATTGTATCTACTGCAAGAGATATGATCGACTAATACAGAATTTGTACAAAGTTTCAAATTAAAATCACATAGAGTGTTTCGGATTAATTCCTCCTTTGACGTCATTTAGATAGTGACTCAATGTCAATTCAAGTCTGACGATGGTTTAACAGAAGCGAACTGAATCATTTTTTTATACTTGAGTCATCACGACGGCCTAAGGCCTAAACACCCGTGTGCACTGTGAGACAGTAGGAGGATATTAAATTAAGTGATAAGACTGGCAACGTAGCCTTCGATCTGGCAACACTGGAGACAGGGGAACATGTGATCCTCCTTTATTACAAGTTTGAACACGCTCGAGTCATTTGGTTGTCTGTAGCGATTTTTTTGTGAACTAGTTTTTCTTATTGTGTTCTAAAAATGAGTGACATCAATTTCGACCAACAGTGTGCTATCAGGTTTTGCTTCAGACGTTGGCACAGTGATACGGAAGCTCTTGCTAAACTTCAGCCGGCCTACGGAGATAGTGGTTTGGCAAGAGCCCAGGTTTTTCGGTGGTTTAAGGCATTTTCAGAAGGGAGTCGATTGAAGATGAACCACGAAGCGGAAGACCTTCAGCTGCAAGGAGTGATGAAAATATCAACAGAATCCGGGGTCTTGTGCCTTCAGATCGTCGGTTGACAGTCAGGATGGTCGGGGAAGAGCTAGATTTGACTTACACCACCGATCATCAGATCAAGAACAACTGTGTGATCCATCACGATAATGCTGCTTGTCACTCAGCAACAAGTTTTCGGGCAGTAGAAACATTCCTGAGGCTCCTTAGCCTCCTTATTCGGCTGAATTGAATCCTTTTGACTTTTTTCTCTTCCCTAAGTTGAAAAATCACTTCAATGGAACTCCTTTTGGGACAGTCAAAAACATTCAAACGGCTGTAACCGACCAGCTGAAGACTAATCGAGTATCAACGTTCCAGCACTGCTATGAGAAGTGGAAGAACCGTCTCCAGCGCTGTGTAGCTTCAGAAAAAAGTTATTTCGAGGGTGACAATATAAGATTGTAATTATATTTGAATAGAAAGATTTTAAAAAAAATTCAGTGTGATCACTCAATTCAGGAACCTCGTATAGAGGAAAGAGGGAAATGTCAGACTTCAGCGAGGGAACACGTGTGCATGTGACATTCACACATTCTGACACCGCCTTAGAGAACCGCCGGGTGGTACCTCCACGTTCGACTATCCGAGACCGTCTACCACCTACACCCATAGCCAAGATAAAAATTCTCTTGGAACAGGATTCGAACACACGCAGCTCACAGCGACCAGATGTGCAGACCATAGCGTCTACCACTATGCCACCGCGCAGTATCTTATTCTGTATTTTTATTCATGCAGCTTGAACAAAAATAAGTGCCGTCGATTATTGCACAGGTTTATACTCTTATAGTTTTAGGACCGTATAGTCAGTCGTTCCTACAATTGTAGGACGCCCTTATGACCTCTTTGATTGTCAAAGTATTTTCTCTCCATCAGAGAGGCTGGAGTATTTCTAAATTTCACTTGTACGAAAATTACTCTCAGTTACAGCAAATGGTTCACATACTACTTGTTTATGAGTAAAGCCCTATTAACAGGCTACGTACTCGTACATGGAATGAATGTCTCTTTGTTTAAATTCCGCCGCGTATGGAGCAATGCACTTGATTAATCAAGGCGTAGGCTCTGAGGAATGCTTATAAAATGATGTTCCCACGTGTGTAGTCTGATGTTTATTAATATGGATCATTATAAGTGAGTAATTACAGGGAAAATGAGAGAGTTTCTTAAAAGTCACATCATTATTCATAGAAAACAAAGATTATTAATTTATTAAAAACATTTACATAAGGTTACTACAATACCAAGGTTGAACAAGCTTTGTAGTTTTTTAAAATCAATCAAGTAGCGGTTGATCTAGGGGCAAAAACACGAAAAAAATAAAAATCACTTTTTTTCTTTCAGAGGCTAGTGATCATTTTCAGTTTTTTTGCAGGAATTGAAAACCGGGGTTCGGGGGTTGTAGGGGGTAGAAGAAATGTGTTGCTCAGAAAGCATAGAAGCTCAAAGTAATTTATGTGTGTGCAACAAAAATACTTATTTACACATTAGGCAAACGCGAGAGTCGTTGTAATTGTAAGCACGCTAATAGCAAATACAAAAAACAACATGATATCTGTCTATTATACTATTATTTATCATTCATAAAAATTCAGTTTTATCAAAAAAAAAAACAGATGTCTGGAGATTCAGGCGGCAGAATCTCGTACTATAACTTGAGGAATACGAAGCTCTATTTAGACTTTATTAGAAATATTGACAAGTCCGAAAATGTAATTATCGGATATCTAAAAAACTCACAGAAGCAAAATTCAAATGTCATTCGAAAGAATATCTTTCCTGTTTTGAGTTGGAACTCAGCGATGCCAGGCTAACACAAAAATTCACAAGCACATAATAAAAAAAATTACAGGAAATATAAAAGTTAGCATAATTAGAAAAATATTTCAAGCATCTCTCAATATGATCTTACATAATTTAATCGAACACGACCTGCACGCGATTGTTCAATCGAGATCACGTCATGGATGAAGAAAGGGAAAGTTCTTACCGAAACGCCAGAAGACACAAACGAACTGCCGCAGAGTACCGAAAGAAAGTGAAAGGTACCACTTTTCAGGATCAAGTTCCTTAAGCTCGCTTCATGATCTCACAGAGGCACTGAGGCTGCCTTTCAGCCAACAGTTTCTTCGTGAAGATCACTACATAACGACGCGATGGTGGGATTGGATGAAACACTGACGTTCTTTTGTTTGCTCTGCACTGATTGGGAAGTACGTGCGTGCGCCGACATTTATTGGCTGATAAATTAATGACATGTGGATGGACTATTAATGTGACTACTTACGGATGCACTACCTACAGATATCTTTTTCATCGAGTAAAATATAGTTCTTATATACTTACTTGGCATTAGGGTTTCATCAACTCAAGTAGCTTGATATTTTTAGAAGCTAGTTGAGTTGAAAATAATATTACGTGAAACGTTAATACTTGACTTGGCTTGATTTTCTCATTGTTCTACTTGATTTGAGATCAAAGATTTTTTAACTACTTGATACTTGACGGAAAAATATATTTTTGTTCTACTAAAGGCCTTGGGTGATATTTATTTCTACAACTGATGAAACGTATTTTATATTTTAAAGCAGATAGTCACGAATGGTGGGAAAGGGATAAAATTGTATTCCCAAATCTAGTTTTAATGGCAAGAGATTTTTTATCGACATCTCAGCAGCGTCTATTGAAAGGGGATTCTAGGCCTGCTTTCTATTAATCAATGAAGAGCTAATTCAGAATTTCTCGTTTTTTACATCATCCGATAAAGGAATGTTTTCTTTCTATTCGAATTTATAGCTTTATCGTTATGTTATAGTTATACAATAAACAAAACATTTTATTTAATATGTGTTGTTTTCTCTGTAACTTGTCATAAAGTCTTTCTATTGTGTATGTACTATATAACCTACTCGTATCTAAAATTCAGAAAAATATATGTGTAGATATAACAGTTGAGTCATCATTTACAAAAGCATCACAGATCGCTAAAGTGTTACGTAGTCCTGATATCCAAAAATTGCTAAAATATATAAACATTTCTCCTGTAGCGGTGTGTCAATGACAACACCACCGCAGACCATTTGGAGTTTGTTACCCATTGTACAGTCGGCAGTGGCCTCCACGATGATGCAGCCTCAACTAATGCCAATTTATTTAGAATCATGAGCACATTATACTCGTACATCGGACTTATCATTTAATTGTCTCGATGTTACCGGGTCAGAAGCCTCTTAATGATAGAACGTATTTGACTAATACTGAAAACATTACATTCACAACCCCCTATCCACTACAACCCCCAGCTCCCAAGCTTCAACCCCTACAAAAAAAATCCGAAAATGATAAGCAGTCTCTGAAACGACAAAAAAAGTTTAAGCGATTTTAATCTTTTTAATGTTTTGCCTCTAGCTTCGCCACCACTAGAGCGATTTTCAAAAACTACAAAGCCTTTTCATCCTTGGCATAGCATTAACCTTGTGTGAACATTTCATCAAAGTCCGAGCGGTTCTACGCAAGTTATATGCGGTCATAAAGTTAGCGGACAGACCGACAGACAGACAGACACACCGGCGAATATAAGTGAATTGTTATTTCGGGATGTACCTGTGATATAACATCCAAAAAACATAATATCTCAATTTAGAATTTTTTCACGATTACAATACTTCCTCGCCAGTTTTGACACAGGAAGTAAAATAAATTTGTTAAACCCCACACATAGGTTGTTTCATTTCAAGTCATTAGTTAGTTGTCAACGCGTATTTCATATTATATTATTGTTATGATGGTTGTTATGAAGGCTTTTTCTACAAGAACAAGAAGTAATTTGCCTGGAACCTTGCTCATCAGCTTCTTTTGCACCGTTGTTCTACTATCACCCTTCATATCACAAACACTATCCGGCTATACGAAATGTAAATTTTCAGTACACCTATGCCTTGACGAATCGATAGCAAGACATACAAGGGAGGAAACAGATGATTCTTTTAATAATTTAAAGGAGGATGGCATATCGAACTTCACATTTATTTCCTCATACTACAAGATCAATAAGACAATTCAGCATAACAGCCAAAGCCGTTCAGATCATTACAGCATTGTCAAATTAAAGAAAAATGGAGGGTGCTATTAGAATGGTAGAATAGCCACCCAAATATTAGGCAGATGGAATACTTTGTAGAGGTACGGTGGGAAGCTCACATGCAGTTGCTTTAATGATCCTTAGTAATTTCTGCGCACCTTCTTACTGAGTCATTATGAAAACTTGGCACACTGGAACTTTCAAACAGGTACTTGCGAAAACAACCCCAGAAGCAGATGGAAAGTTATAGATGTACCTGTATTATGAGTATATCTAATTTAACAATATTACTACTGTTGATATTTTAGAATCAGTCTTATGAAAAATTTCACACAAGAGCACCTTACCTCTACGCTTGTATAAAAAAGACACGCGGAAGCACAAACATTTAGAAAACTAACACCAGGAAACCGCTAAAAACAATGAACAAACTGGTGACGAATATTTTAGTCTGCTATAGTTTGGCTAATCTTAATTCATGATTAATTCCTAGTTGGACAGAAACAGAACACCTTTGACCTGATCGCATGCCGGTAACAATAAATTGACTACTTTTATTCAAATTAGCCCGCCTCGAAAATGAACGTGGTGAACTCACGAAATTTATATTACGAAGGATAAACGAAATATTTCATCGAAAATATACATGGTATTTTCAAAATATGTATGTATATGCAAACGTGAAGCCTATTTCCTGGACTATTTGAAGAAAGAAAAAAGCAGTCTGGTTCTTACCGGCTTTTTAGAGTATTATAGTTGTAGTATAGTAATAACAGGTAGTAAGAATTTCAGAAGTCGAAACCAGACTATTCGGCACTAGAACACATTTAGAATACTGCCGCCCATATGCAGAGCCTGTCTAGGAACAGAGAAATAAACTTTCGTCTTGAAGGGACCAAATTATCTCGAATAGTATGTATTCACTTATACGTTATTGTTTCTCATTGTAAAATTTGTATTTTCATTCTTTGTGACTACAAGTGTACCAAACTGGATATATACTAAGTGACATATAAATCCGAACACCCAGTTTAAATGGTTTTATTTTAATAAAAGTTGGTGAATGTATTTATTTTACTTTAAATAACAAGTGAAAAAATGTTCAGCCTTATCAGTTGGACATTCCGGTTTTTATACTGCTTTTTTTTTAATTCACTAACGCTCTAAAAGTGAATATTTCAGCCGCAGTAAAGAATCAACGTTGGCGGATTTTGGTTCTTGACATCATTTACGATCGGTTACGATGTTTTCACACCGGCCACACTGGGTCCTCCCTTTAGCTCGAGAACACCGACGTAATCGCCTTGAGTGGTGCAGACAACGGTCACTCTGGGATCAGGAATGGAACAGTATTGTCTTTAGTGACGAGTCTCGATTTTGTTTAGGCATGCACGATGGTCGTGCCAGGGTTAGAAGGCGGCGTGGTGAAAGGAGGAATCCACAGTTTTTTGTTGAAAGACATGTTCATCACACTGTTGGAGTTAAGGTTTGGGGTGCTATAGCTTATGGTTCCAGGTCACCTTTAATCTTCATCAGAGGTAACATGAACGTGCAGCGTTATATCCACGAAGTTCTAGAACCCCATCTTTTACGCTATCTTGACACCCTGGCAGATCCAACTTTCCAACAAGATAATGCCCGACCACATGTTGCAAGAGTCACAATAGACTTCTTTCAACATAATGATGTCACATTGTTACCATGGCCACCAAGATCTCCCGACTTATCCCCAATTGAGCACGTGTGGGATATGATGGGTAGGATATTGCTCAATTTGCAACGTCCTCCTCAGACTCTAGAAGCACTTCGAGAGGAGTTGGTGGTTGCCTGGAATGAGATACCACAGGAGGACATTGACCACCTGATCAGAAGCATGCCTAGGCGCGTTGGAGAATGCGTAGCACATCAGGGTGCATCCACACATTATTAAAGGTCAAAGGGCTTTAAAGCAGTGCAATCATTTTGAAATTTTTATCATTTACTTATTATGCTTCATTAAGTACTTATACAAAATTTTATTGAAATAAAACCATTTAAACTGGGTGTTCGGATTTATATGTCACTTAGTATACTTGGGCAGTTTGGGACCCAGATATTGAAAATGGCGATCAACGAATTATAAGGTACATATCACGAAAACAAATTTAGGGTAGGAATATGGTGCTATCTGGGCATCCCATCAATTACGACGAGATACTAAAATTAGATTCATAATGGTTGACATATTGTTTCTCGGACCTCAATTGTCTCTAAGGTCTTTGATTTTTTTTATGTAAGTTTTTTTCTAATTCTAATTTACTACGTTTTAATTGATGTGATTTTCAATCGTGATGGTGACGATCAAAGAACACATCAATCGAAATGTCGTGAATCAAAAAAATCATATAGACAATGGAAGTCCGAGAAGCAATATCTCAAATATCCACATTGTCATCAAATTTTAGAGCCGTTTTACACACAAGAGAATTACTCAGAAAATTATGGTCATAATTATGCTGAAAATTTGCATGGAAAAAATATTGAAGATTTTCTCTACAACCTGTATGACACAAGCAAACAAAATTTCGGAGTAATTCATATGATACGCCTGCGCATTAGAGTAATATTTTCGAATGGACATAACCTTAACGGGTATGACGTCCAATATAATCGGAAAGACAACAGACGTCGATAATTTAAATTTATTTTTGAAATCGAGATCTTGGTTAATATTATAAAACTTCTCAATTCTTGGACTTTCGCATCCAGCGCCTGACGCCGCAAATTTCTGTTTTTGTAATTGGGTGACTTCACCTTGTACAGGTTTGGCCATTTTTGGTACTCCTCCAACAACAGTGTAAATTCTTCCCGATTCCATGACATTGTGAATAAACAATAACAATAAACCCTCTTTCGTACGACTCGAACAGGACCACTCCCACAAATGTTAAGTGAGGTTATGTTGTTATTGTTGTCGTTGACATTTGATATTGACATGCACGGAAATAACCCTCTGCGCCGATTCTCGCGCATATTCTATAGAACGGGTTTTATATTTTTAACATGAAAATTTTCACAAGAATTCTTTTACGTGTAATACCACAGCAAAAATTTTCGGCATAATTATGACCATAATTTTCGGAGTAATTCTCTTGTGTGTAAAACGGCTCTTAAACAATAATTAGATTCATAATATAGGCCCCAATTTACCGCTCATTGATTCCTCCATCATA